ATGTAAGGAAAGGTTAAAAAACTACATTTTCTAGAAATATACAACTTTAAGAATTCACAGAGACTCTAATTATCTTGTTTTTTTTTTTTTTTTTTATTTCATCTGCTAAAGATTTCTTGGGCAAATGTTCTTTTTTTTGTTTTTGGGCAAACACTGTTGAATCGCATAAAATAGATGTTCTAGTCTCAACTCGGTATTGTCAAGGGAAGATGGTAGGGGAAGATTTAAGGTTGTATTATTCAGCCACGTAGTAAAACCGTCTGTTTTATTTGCATCTTATTTGTATACGGTAAAAAAAAATCGAGTTGATGTTAATTTGCTTTCTAAATCATGTAGTCATGAAGTTAGATTTGGAAAACAAATTGGAAATCATTAAAATTTCCCCTTCCCACTCCCACTATGTTTCATAGACAGGAACCTGAGTGAGGCCTAGAGAGTTGAAATAATTTTTCTAATATCACATCTATGGTTAATGGCTGAGCAAGTTTTTTCTTTTTACTATTCCCTGTTAGGGAAAGTTGTATTGCCAGCTAACTTAAAGGAAAGAAATATGCAATTTCTGATCCTGATATAGGATTAGGGTTTATATACCTCTAACTTGCTGAATAAAGTAGATTTACTTAATTGTATTCAGCTTAATATCTTTATAATTTTTAGTATCTTTAAGTGACCTTTACATTCTGACCTTAGCAGTTTCAATTTCTGATCTTAGATAACTTTTTAAAATTATGAAATATTAAAACCAAGCAGAATATATAAACATGAAAAATTCTCTCTTAGTAATTGTACAACGTGACTCTAGAATGATGTGAAAAATGTTTGCTAATCATTAGTGACTAAACAGTAGTTGAAAACATTTGTCTTTACTGTCATACACAGAGTATAGCATTAAATAAATTTTCATTCAGAGGTAAGTATTAAATTGAAATTCCAAAAAACAATAGAAACCACTTTTAAACATTTATTTCATCTTTCAGTCAATATACTCTATGTAGGTAGTACACATAATATGAAAAAATATATTATTCTAGCCTACTTCCAAAGCCAAAATAGAGGTTAAGAAGGTTGTAACAACCACATGCTCTAAATTTTATTTCTTTTGATAATACATTTATAACCCATAAGATATTAATCTATTGATGTGAGATTTTGGTTTTGGGTTGTTTTTCCTTAATAAAACACTATTATATTTGCTCTCTTATTGGAGAGAACATTGTTGAGTTGCAAATGATAACAAGAAACGAAGATATAAGATAGTACCAATTATTCAGATTTTTAAAATTTAACTATATCCAGATCACCTAATTATGTGTTTAAATGAACAAGTTTGATCGAAATTTCAATTTTGCACAGTTCTGAGTTGAGGAATTTTCTCTGTTTTATTATGACATAATCTTAATACCTAAAAACAGAGTGTGAATTTTTTAAAAATTGATTATTTTCATGTTGCCTTATTTGTTAAGTAGGTTTTTCCTTGTGACTCTTAATATTTAGAAGAATTCAGTGATTGCCTTTTCATCTTTTTAGTATTCTAGTTTATCTTTTTCCCCATGTTTATATAATTTTAAGCTTCTTTTAGGGAGTTGAGATTCTAACTACACTTAATAATAAATTAAGCAAGGTATTTATTGAGGTGTCTAGATAATACTTTTAACAACTTCATTCTCCTATTCTTTATGTGCATGTAACTGGAAAATTGAGTGGCTTCCAAGGGACCTTCCACAAAAGTAGGGGTAATATGATATCTTCTAAAACGCTGAAGGAGTGTAGCCAGTGTTCATCTTTTAATTCTCCAGTTTATATTTCCAGCACTTAATTGCATGGCACTAGGGCAGAATAAATTATATTTTTTTAAAGTTAGATGACACTTAGTTACATATGTGTAATTTAGGCTGACTTTAAGATAGAAATATAAAGGGTACTTATAGAAATATGTAAGTAAATATATGAATTTTCTAATGTTATACAGAAATTATATTCTAATTACATTATAGTAGCTTTATATATTTATTAAATCAATAATGGTTTAACACCATAGGCAAATGTTTATACATCATAATTTTATAAAAAGAAGACATTCTAATTTTAGAAGTAGCTTAATTCAAAATGGAATAAAATACCTGGGACATTTTTTTCTTCTTAACATAATTTGTTTAGCCCATGATACTACTGTAATTCAAGATTTTATGGATTTTTTCCCAATAAATTGATTTGTAAATATTACATTTACAGTGTGATGAAATCTAAAAAGTATAGTTTATTTATCCAATTTCAAATACCCGCAGAAGAAAATGAATTTAATACAACACAGTTGTATTAACTGCCTGGAGTATGAGAAAATTTGTATGCTTTTTCTAGAACAACACTGTACAATAGAAATATAATGTGAGTCACATATACAATTTTAAATTTTCTAGTGGTAACATTAAAGATACTAAAAAAAAACACATGCAGTTAATTTTAGTAATATTTTATTTAGCCCAGTATATCCAAAATTGCATCACTTCAACATGTAATCCATATAAAAAAGATGCTAATAAGATATATTACATTTTTTATACTAAGCCTTCAAAATTGGTATGTATTTTACATTTACATTGTATCTCAATTCAGATGCTAAATTTTAATTTGAAATACTTGATCTGTATTTAGAATTCAAAAAAATTACAGTTGAAAAAAATAGATTCACATACCCAAGTTGTTCCAGATATACTTAAAGGTTTTCCAGTAACTGAATTGAGCATCAGTTTTTTTAAATTAAATTAATTACAGTTATATAAAATTAGGAATTCAGTTCCTCAGTCACATTAGCCACATTTCAAGTGCTCAATGTCTACATGTGATTACTTGTCACTGTATTGGTTAGCATAATTCTGGAGGTAATTTGGTAAATATATCAAAATATAAAATATGTCTAGCCTTTGAACTAGTAACCCCACTTCTAGGGATCTAGAAGTATAGAAAGATATATGTAATATGATGTTCTTCAGAGCATTTTATTTCAATGAAAGATTGAAGACAAATGAAGGGGGGAACTCATAAGGTAAATTCTGATGCATACATACAACAGATTACTCTTCAGCTATTAAAAAATGATGAAGTAGTAAATTTGGTGAAATTTCAATGGTGTTAGGATGGTATAATAACTAAGAAGGAGTCCCTGAGTGGTGCAAATGGTTAATGCATTCTACTGCTAACTGAAAGGTTGGAGGTTCAAGTCTATCCAGAGGTGCCTTGGAAGAAGGTGATTTACTTCTAAAAAATCAGCCATTGAAAACCCTGTGGAGCACAGTTCTACTCTGGCACACATGAAGTCACCGTGAGTCAGAATCGACTCCATGGCAGCTGATGGTGGTGGTGAAATGATCAAGGGACAAGTGAAAATTTGATGGACAGATGTAATGGCCTCAGTGCTGATTTTATTACATATAGAGGTAACCTTCTTTCCAAGACTTTGATTAGCACCAGTCTTACATTTTAAAACTTGAATTAAAGTTCAGTTTTACAGTTTAGGGAAAGAGTGCAGGCTACTTAGATAGCCAACTGTCCTAATTCCTTATTAGCTGTGTAACCTCTTCCTGACTTTTTTGACGGCAGTGTTTTCAGGAAGTCCTAGAGTAACAAGATAAGGTCTTTGGAAGAAAGGAGTAATACAAACCTGAAAACTATGATTAAGTAAAGACTGCCTTTTCAGGTAGCATTTAAAAATACTTGGTCTCTGATTGGGAATTAGAATTGTCAGAAATGTTTGATACCAGTTTTATAAATTACATGAAGATGAGTGAGTAGGTTCTAAGTTGCCTACCCTACCATAGAGCATTGCAGATGACTGTGATGCTGGAAGGAAGTGCTTGAAACATAAATAGTAGTCTGCAGTCAGATTGCTGCACAATTTATAGAAGACGTGGAGAAACTGACAACAGTCGGAATCAGTTCGTTGAGTTACAAAAAACTAGAAGTTCCTTGATTCTGAAAATAAAACCTATCTTTCCCATAAATGCTCATCTAGCTAATGTGCATTTTAAATAATCGATACCTTTTGTCATGCTATAATATCTATTTGAAAGGATCCTTTCTATTAGCATCTTCTTTACAAGCTTCTATTTTAAGAATGATTTCTTTTCAAAATTTTAATTTGTAATTTATATTTGGAATTTGAAGCACATTTTCCTTTAGAAACAATTCTGTGAATAGTTTTCTTGATTCTCATAGCAGCCCACAAAAGACAGTTTGAAACATTATGCAAAGTCAATAGTGAAGCAGTGAGGGGACACCTTTTCGCTCCATTTTTACTCTCTAGGGCTATAGGCATTTGGAAGATGGGAAAATTCCTTTCCTACAAAATATTTCACCATTTCCAGCTCATAGGATTTCTAAAATGTTCTGCATGTTTATTTTTAAACAATTTTTTTTTTAATCTTTACAGACATGAATAAAATTAAACTAATTAGAACGTTGGTTCCTTCAAATATTGACACATACCTTATCCACATGGCAATTAAAGTTCTGGAAAGAGATGATGACAGCAGACTGCTGTGCCAGCTTTCATGTGATTCCAACAAAAAGAGATGTTTCCCCAACTCTGAAGAGAGCCGTTTAAATTCCAAGAGAAGCAAGAAAGAAGTGGGTACTAATACCGGGCGTTAATTATAGGTGTTGGTTGCTCAGTTTGCATATTCTAATACTAGAATACTTTATTTTTTGAATTGTTACAAATTCTGATGTAAGCTTACTTCTTTATCTGTATGCTAGATTTTCTTTGCTTTTCATAAATCTGATGTGAGAAAGATGATTTTTTTTAAAAAAACGAAGGGGTTTATTATGTGGAATGTCAGCTTAAATTTTACTTCTGCCTCATATCAACTATATATGTGTAAATGTCTGTGTGTATAGATAGCGAGATAGGTGGATGGATAGATACAGATATATAGCCCGGCAAATTCTTTTTCCTTGAGAGATGTAGATAATTCTTTTTCTTTCAGAAATGGCACATAGTGTGATTAATGAAAATGAAAACAAATTCTATTATAAATACCCCCAGATTGATTTGTCTCTCATTCTGTCATTGAAAACGCTCTGTTACTGTTACGCTGACTGTGTGGAGTACAATGGTAATTGCTGCTCATGGTCCTGGGCGTATCACACTGTGCTTTTGGCACGATCAGAGAACAACTACGAGTTCAGTATTATTTTATGTGGCACATTTTGTTAAAGTAGCATATTTTGAAAATTATCGCTCTGTATGTGGGGTGAAATAAATAAATAGTAATTAGAGAATAACTGTTCTTTATCAGGTGACTCTATTAAAAAGATTTTATAAATTTGAAAAGTTGACCTCCAGTGTCTTCCCAGTCTAAAACTACATGACTTTATCATAAAACTTTATGAAAACTGATAATTCACTAAAAAAACTTTAATTCCTAGACAATAAATGCAGTGTGGTATTAGGTTATTTTTAATATTTATATTACAGGATTATATTACTATTTCAGTTCTAAGGTAATCATAGAATTTCCAACAATTAAACTGCTTTTTTGCCCAACAACTTAAAAATAAGAGGAACGGGTCTTTCTTAAGTCTGTATTTGAGTTAAGTATGTATATAGTCATGTCCTAGGTAACTGAATGAAATTCAATTAATTGGAATTCCTCACATTATTTTGATAATTGAACTTGCTGTAAAAAGGGCATTAAAGAAAAATCTGTTTGGATGAATTGAGTGACATTTGACTCCTATTGCCTGCTTTTATTTCTGTAATCTGTACTAGGTACCTAAGACCCTCCTGTTTTTCCCCTGACTTTTACCTAGTCAGTACAGGAGAAGGTGTAACTTGTTATTTTTCCTGAAAATTGGAACACACGTAGAGTAAAATATTATTCTAACCATACATTAGCATTTTTGCTTTTCCCTTGTTGAAGTAACATTAGATGCTGACAAGAGAGTGGGGAGACCTTGGCTGGGGAAGTAGGTGGAAATCATACTAAGTCTACTGCATTCTAAAATGTATATCTAATTTAGGCCTTTTTTCCATTTAGGGCAGCAGAGGTATTGGGGCTGGGAAGTAGATTAGAAGGTCAGAATATCTTTCCTTCATCTGCCCCCTGGTATAGAAAGCTACTGTGATTACAGTAGAGTAACAGGCGATTGAGTCTGTGGAGGCCTAGTTTCAGGATCTTTCATTTATTACCATCCCCTTCTCTACTGATCTGGGATGTAGCCCTCAGTCTGTTTTGTCTTTAATTTTGAGGCTTCTGATAAAGAATAATGTCATTAGAAAAAATTATTTTTATTAGTTGATACATCATTATGTTTACATCTAATATGTCTGCTATTAAGATAGAAGCCCAGTTATGCTCACGTTTAATGGAGGAAGATTATACCTTGGTATTTGTAGTTCTAGTTTAATAACACAGTGGGTTTTTAAAATAGATTGTTTTTTGTATTTCTGGAATGTTTTCTTAAATTATAGTTTTTAAGATGTTTGCTTATTTCAGGAAAGTTTTATTAAAATTTTACAGTATTTTTGTTCCTTTACTTTGCATTTCTTCTTCAGGAACCCCGACATCTGTATGTTGGATCTTCTTAGCCTACCTCTAGTATTCGTCATTTCTCATGAATTCTTTTTATTTCTTTCTTGATTTCTATTTTTTCACCTTCTATTTCTCTTTTGTCATAATCTGTTGTATTTATTGCTCTTATGTTCCTCATAATTTAGTATTCATTTTTATAGTTTTTTTTTATTTCTAATTCTTTTCTGAGTTTCTGTCTTTAAGTTTTGAGTTTTTCTGATTTTGATTTATATTGTTCTTTTATGCATTGAATCATTTTCTTAATTTTTTTTTTTTTTTTTACCTTATTTTGAGAGTTACAGTTTTAAGCTGTACCTAAGCAGATTTTTCTGGTGTATGGCATTTAACCTTGATACTTTTCTGTTGCCATATTCATGTAAAATTAGCCTTCTGCATGTTCAAAACAAGGCAAGGTTCAGGATAGCTTTTCCAACTTCACAGACTCTCTTCTCCTGTTTCTATGTAATGTTCAAAATATGGGGACTTGATTGATGAGATATGCTTCTCTACCACTTTTATGTGGACTCTTCTCTTTTGTCTCTGTTTTCTCTGTCCTGCTGGCTGTTGTTATAATTCCAACACTATCCCTGAGCATTGGCAGCCTTGTCTGGTCAGTAAGTTCATAGGAGCCATCTGCTGTTGCGTTGGGCAAAAGCTTTCCCATTTTCAGATGCTGTTCTCACATCGATCTGTCATGCTTTCTAATGGACACCTGTTGGCTCTTTGGGGGTTCTCCTGGTCTCAGGTTCTCCTGTTGGCCTTGGCCTTCTCCCATACAGATGTTATTACTGTGCAGGTTTTTTGGCGGTTGGTGGTTTTTTTCTTTGCCTAGCTTCAAACTATGCTTATAGTTTAGGCTTCCTGAGAATACCTTTAATTTCATTTTAAATACAGACCATGGATTTTTAGTTTTGCTATCTAGTTGTTCTAGCTATTTTAGTGCTGGAATTCAGAGAGATTAAAAAACTCTACTGCCACTACCACCAATTTCTTAGAATCCTCTCCACCGATACCACTTTTCTTTTTTTCCTGACTGCATAAGAGCAGGAGAACGATATTTCCTGCCTGCCATTAGGTTTGATTATAAATTTAAATTATGCAATATTGTTTATAAACTGTTCTAAGATACTCAAAAATGTTTTATGAGTAACATTAGTATGATCATTATTGCTAAAATTCAGGACTTTAGAATAATAAGAATTTTTAAAGCTTTGCTTTTTTAGGCATAGTTTTTTTATATAAATAAGAAAATAGTGCATGGTGTAACTAATTTGTATTCCATAAAAATTTTAAAGGTTGATAAAAAATTTCCTGGCAGTTTCTCAATGAAAAATGAGAGTCAAAGAAATGCTGTAACTTCCTGGAAACAGCCATCCAGTAATCCAGAAATGGAAGATTTATTTACAGATTCTCATTCACAGGAAAAACTGATTTGGTAAAATAGTTCTCATCAGAAATACTTCAGGTTTGGTAACTAATATGTCTAGATTTATTTTAGTTATAGATAAAATTAAATGTGAATATAATGCACATATTTCTGTATTTGCCTACATATATATGTGCACAAAGAATCAGCAAATGAGTTAATGTTTTCTATTCTCAATTTCATGGTGATAATTTATTAATGTAACTTGGAGTATCAAAAAAATGTAAACAGCCCTTTAAATTTTATTAAGATTTCTGGGAATTTTAGTCTTCTTCTGATGAAGGAAGTGGTCACTGGAAGGTGTTTTTCTGTTAGGTGACTTAGGCTTCATAACTGAAGTCTCTCCAGATACTTATTTTTGAGACTGGAAAGATTCACTCAATATAAGTAAGCATTTGCTTCCTTTTCTCTGTGAAATAAGATCATCATTATAATTACAGGGTAAATACTGAAGATCGTGTCTGTAGAACTGTTAATAGAAGATGAAAGACTTTAAATGACGTTAGCCGCCAATTGAGTACCAAAAATAAATCAGGATGTGTGTTGATATTTGCATATACGCTCATTTAACTCCTACAGCAATCCAGTGATGCTCTGTATTCTTACTCCCAGTGTGTGTATGAAGAAACTGAGGCTTATATGACATGCCTACGGTCATATATTTAACAAGTGGCTCAACTGGGACTGAAACCTAGTTCTGTCTGATTTCAAATTCCATGCTTATTCTTTTGTATTAGGAAGCTACAACCATTCTTAGGGTTTTTTCCTCTACTCTGTTACTGTTCAAATGTCTCACTCTGTTTACAATCTTAACTGGCTTCCTTGCCTTCAAGGGGTTCAAACGCTTAAATACAAGCAACTGTAATTCTCTGTGGCTGTAAAGATTTTTGATATTAAGATCTTTGGGAAGCATGGATGTTTCTGGGCCTATTTTATCTCTACCAAAATGCCCTTATTGCTGTGCCACTTCATATCCCTAACATTTTTTGTTTCTAAGTCAAATATAATACAGTGAAACGTGTGAGAGCCGGAACTCGTCAAGACTGCCGTGTTTTTCCAGGTCTCCCAAGTTTTCTGCCTTTGACAGGATGCAGTCTTACCACTTTTTTATTGCTTTCTATTAGTAAAAAATATTTGAGTTTTCCTTCTCTGACAGATTTCTGCCTTACACAGGTTCCAGCTTTCGCAGGTTCTACTGTAGTATCTTACAGTATACAAAAATCTCATCTGTTCCCGTGGTCTTCCGTTCCCTGTGAGGAAATGGGTGCCTGGGAACAAAATTGCTATCTTAGTCAGTTTTTTTTTTTTTTCCTTTAGATTTTGCTGACATGTGAACAGCCCTTACTTCTTCATTGAATTTCTTTAAGTTGGAACAGCTAACAATGTTCACCCTTTTTTTAAAAAGTAAACTTTTACAGTCTTTTGCCAAGCATCTTTTGCTATTTTTCTGTCCTTCAATATTTCGAAAATTTTCTTAAGCATATAAAACATATCAAGCATTTGGAGAACAGTATGTACCCTAGGCCGACAGACACATTTTAACCTGGATGAGGCCCCCTTACCGTGTTGTTGTTAGGTGCTGTCTCGGCTAGGACTCCTGGCGGCCTGATGCATAGCGGAGCAAAATGTCGCCTGGTCCTGCCCCATCTTCACGATCATTGGTATAAAATCCTTCAAAGACTTCCAATAACTAAATTACCTCTGCTGGAGTCCAGGGGGAATCCTGGTGGCGCAGTGGTTGAGAGCCCGACCGCTAACCTAAAAGGTTGTCACTTCAAATCCACCAGCCGCTCCTTGGAAACCCTGTGGAGAAGTTCTACTCGGTCCTATAGGGTCGCTATGAGTCAGAATTGACTAGACAGCAACGGGCTTGTTTGTTTGTTTTTGGGCAGGGGGTTGGCGTCCAAGGTGTATTCATGTTAGAAGGATTTCTCTGTCGTGTTATTCTGAAGATCTGTTGCTCAAACCAAAATAACACAGAATTATGCCTATTTTAGGCCTATAGAACAATTACCTACTTAAAACTGTTTTATCTTCTTCACATGCAGGTGATGTAGTATACAACTACTGCTTTTATCTTCTTAAAGAAATGTCGTCAAGGGTTTTCACCTAAGGTTCAGAGACTTCATTTGGTGCATCAGTCCCTAGAAGTAGTGTGCAAAGTATTGTGCATGTGTCCATTTGTCCTTTTTGCTGGGAGGTGGAGCTGTAGTTTTCAGCAGATGCTCAAAGGAGTCTATGAGACAGAGAATTATTTTTTCACTTATTGAAGTTACTTGAGTGTCTGCTGTCTTGGGCATTCAGCAGGTGCCAGTGAGCCGCTCTGCTAGTCTGTCAGCCAGTGTAGACGTTAGGGGTTACTTCTTTTCACACACCTGATATAACACTATGGAGACCTGGTGGCTCCATGGTTAAGTGCTTGGCTGCTAACCAGAAGGTCAACAGTTCAAACCACCAGCCACTCCGCGGGAGAGAGATGTGGCAGTCTGCTTCCATAAAGATTGCGGCCTTGGACACCCTATGGGGCAGTTCTGCCATGTCCTATAGGGTTGCTATGCATCAGAATTTACTCGATGACAGCGGTTTTTTAGGTTAGTGTAACACTGTGTGTATATGTGTTTATATTTTCAGGCAGATACCTTTCTCAGAACATGAAATTCACCACTTTGGTGAACTCAGAGCCAATTATATCATGAGACATACATCTAAAATAATCTCCAGTTCTTTCCTTCCCAAACAAATATCTACACGTGAATTTCTAAGACTATGTAATGGAATGGCAAGTAATTGCCTGAAGATACGATATAGTGACTTCTTCTCTTATTTATTTACCAAAAAATAAATTCTGTAGGTCTCAGTATTTTGTTTTGTTTTATTTGGTGGAGTAGGGGTAGAGAAGGGTGGTATATTCAGTAACTGGCTTAGTTTTTACAATTGACGGCATTCTCAGTAGTAAAAAATTCTTTTTTTTTTCTTTCCTATAGACTTCAGCTGAAACCTCAAAGAGAAAATTACCTCAGTGGTTTGCCAAGGGAACGGAGACCTTAGGTACTACCTACAAGAAATCAACGGCCAAAACTAAAAAGGGTCTTTTTAGTTAAATTGGAAGTTCCAGAGGAATTATGTGTGTCTTGCTGTATTATAAAACAAGAGCTATATTTCATTTCTGAAAAGAGTGGGGAGTAATGTCAGTTTAAAAAATATTTCAGTCCCAAAGTAAAAATTACCTGTTTATTGAAGGACTGGCATCTTAAGTCAGCCTTCCGCATAAAATATTTGGGCCTTCTGAGAGCCTGAGTGAGTACATCATAGAGTACTAAATTAGATTTCTTTAAGATTGCTTTAAGAAACCATGTTATTGTCCTTTTCTCTAAATTTAACATGCCATCGTTTGATATAATAACAGAATAGTAGTTGTATGGTACTTGTGTGATGTAAGATATTTCTATCTTACTTAAACTGTGTTTTATAAACAAAGAAAGTATAGTTATTCTGTGAATTGTCTTTATTCTCTTTAAAAGAAGCTCTTATACACATTGTTAAATGGTACAGGTGGACCAGATCCATGAAAACTAACATAACATTTTGTGTTTCATGTACATAGGGAAAAAGATTCTAACGAAGGATACCAATCACACTATGCAACTATGCACTTTGTATTTTATATACTATTTCTATTGTTTTTCAAATAATAAAACAATTTCATTTATATTGAATGTCTATATTATATTTCCATTGAGTTGATTAATTACCTTGAGTACCTCCATTTTTCCGGATGGTCAGGCTTTGATTCTGCTGTCTCTTTACGTAGCACATGTGACTTCAGTATCTAAAGCCCATACACTGGCACAGAGCTGGATAAACCAAAACTTTAAGCAGTTCACTTTCTGGCTTATAAATATACTCCAAAGCCTTTGATTGCCTTTGTGAAAATAATAACTGTTCTGAATAAAGAATTATATGTCTGTTGTATGAAAACTAGAAAATCCAGGAAAATAAAGAAAAATCACTCATAGTTCTACCACTAGATAATCACAGCTAACCCCTCTTATATATTCTACCAGAACTTTGTATATTCACTTCTTTTCTTAGTTTATTATATGAATATGAATAATACATGAATGAATTTTTGTTGTTAAACATTCAAGCTACACTTAAAACGTAAAACCAACCAGCCAGTTGTTGTTGAGATGATTTCAACTGATGATGATCCCGTGTGTGTCAGAGTATAACTGTGCTCCATAGGATTTTCAAGGACTAATTTTTCAGAAGTAGATTGCCAGGACTTTCTTCCAAGGTACTGTTGGGTGGACTCCAACCTCTAACCTTTTGGTTAATAGCTGAGTGCATTGCACCACTCCAGGACTCCTTAAAACATGAAAGTCCCCCTTATTCCCATTTTCCCACATCCCATTATCAACCCCTTTCCAAGAGGTAACTCCTGTTACTATTACCTTCTATTAAATATGTGATTTATAGTTCTCTAGTCATTTCTTAAAGCCCTGGTAAAAGGTCAGCGGTTTGAATCCACCAGCTGCTCCTTGGAAACCCTACGGGGCCATTATGCTCTGTCCTATAAGGTTGCTATGAGTCGGAATCGACTCGATGGCAATGGGTTTGGTCTCTCTTTTTTTTTTTGGAGTCATTTCTCTGTGTATTTACATGTCTTTATATCTCTATTTGTGTATCTATACATACATTCTTACTATACGCAGTGTTCTTCAACAAACATTTTTTACTTAATATATCATAAAGGCCTTTTCATGTCAGTACATATTGATCTACCTCGTTTTTGTACTGTTATATAGTGTCCCATTTTGTGAGTATACCATAATTTATATAACCACTTTTCTATTGGTGATTTCATCACTTTTTTTTTCTATTTCATACAGTTCCTGGAAGTAGAATTACATAAACATACTGTTTGTTACTTATTCTTCACTTGAGTATATTTGAACATGTTTTGTCCATGTCATTAAATAGCCTCCTACAGAATTTTTTTTGTGGCTTAATATAGTACATTGATTCTCAAAGTGTGGTCTGCAGACCCATGGAGTCCCTGAGACCCTTTCGGGGGATCTGCAAAGTCAAAACTATTTCTAATAACATCAAGATGTGTTATTTGCCTTTTGCAATATGTTGACATTTGCATTTAGAGTGCAAAGCAATAGTGGGTAAAACTACCAGCACCTTAGCACTAATCAAGGCAGTGGCACCATCTTGTTGAATTTATTAATTCTCAGTCTTTAAATACATACACATCTTTTCAGTATTCTGTGTGGAAATGACAAGTACTCATGCAGCACCCCTGCTGCATGCGCAAGTATGATGGTAGTCTCAGAGAGAAACACGTTTGATTGTTTGAGTTGTGAATTAACTGCTTTTTTCATGGAATACCACTTTTACTGAAAAGAATGACTGACAAACTGTTCTGGGTATTTGGCAGACGTTTTCTCAGAAATGAACAAAGTGAGCCTCTCGCTTCAAGGAAAACAACTGATGGTATTTTTCTGCCAATAATAAGAGTTGAGATTTTGGAAAACTTGTGTCTGCCTCTGGGAGCTTGACAGCCTCCCAACACGTTGAAACTTTTCTATTGAGATGTGATTTTCATCTATGTGATTTTCATAAATGTGATTTTCATAAATGTGATTTTCATCTATGTGATTTTCATCTGATTTTCATATATGTGATTTTCATAAATGTGATT